TGTGTAATCAATGATGAAGATGTTCCTTTGAGCCAATCCTGGGTGCATATCAGTGCTTCGACAGTTGTTGGTGTTAATGAGCTGCGATATGGATCAAGCACCCTTTCTCCTGTACTAAATGCAGATTCAGATGCCACTGTGCTTATTGGTATAGCAAGCACGTCTCTTGCAATGTTTGCAAGGATGGGATAACGACCAGAATTTACTTTCCACCACTCGAGAACATTTATCTCCATGTTATGCTCTAACTTCTCTCCAAGATAAGTGGTTAACTCATTATCTGCATTGTCACACCCTTCTGAAAGATAAAACTCAGCAGTTCCGTATGGATGACTAACATTACCAAAAACTTGCGACTCATGTGGATTATCTTGAGGAGGCATAAAGCCAGTACAATATTCCTCATAAATAGATTTCAAGCAAGACTCTAAGGTTTTTTTCAAGGCATCAGCATCAACCTTATTATAATACCGTCGTACCATCCAATCAATCAATCTAACCTTGCGTCTAGGGTCAAAAACTAGAGTAATCAACAACATCATGTTAAGCTTCTCATGAGATCCCCAATACTTATCATACTTATTTTTCATCTTTTGAGATGCCGAACGTAGATGTTCATCTTCACACGTACACATATCCACAATGCTCTTTCCAATACCCAAGACCTCAAACATATAAATATTGCTTGTCAAATAAGAAGACCCTGATATATGTACAGTGGCATCATAAAACAACTTCAAGAATGGAATGATTAAGTTGATATGCTTCCAATCGTCTTTCATCGGGACACCTTTTCCCTTTTTTGTCAACTCATTCACATACCTAGCACAACATAAAATGTTCAACATCAATTCAACTTTATATAAATTCTTCCTTAAAACATAAAATGTCAAATAGTTTAGTCCTATGAAGTTTCTTACTAAATGCTTGGAGAGGAAAGTATACATGGTTGACATATTGTCTTCAATAATCCTTTTATAACTTATGACAATGTAATTAGTTGTTGTAGTTATTACTTGTTACACTAAGATAAATTATGTACTTGCATAATTTTAGAATAGCCGCGACAACAACAATAAAGTGTTATTGTGTTAGTTTCTATTAATATATAAAAATTTTATCACCTTTATAACTATCATAATAGAATAACTAACTAGTTGTATATGATTGCAAAATTAATTCACATACCTTTTATTTTGAAAACCTAATTTTTCAAAGGTTCTTTCATGTTTTGATGCAGATACTAACATCAAGTAAGTTGAATTCCAACGAGTCTCAACATCTAGAGAAACTAAACCTTTATAGTCCATGCTCTCCTCATCAATACATTCCTTGAATTTAGAGAGCCTCGCGGGAGAAGATCTAGCGTACCAAATAGCATGACGAACTCTATAAACAGAATCATTAATGTCTTTCAAACCTTCTTTCACAATTAAGTTCAATATGTGTGCACAACACCTCATATGAAAATGGTTTCCGCTCATAACTAAACTATTCTTAGACAAAAGCCTTCTCTTGAGACGTTCAACCCCAACATCATTAGATGAAGCATTATCAACCGTCAAACTAAGCACACGCTTTAAACCCCAATTGTTTAAACATAACTCTATTGTTTCACAAATAGCATCCCCTGTATGACTTGTGACTTGACAAAAAGTTAAGATCTTCTTCTGTAAGTTCCAATTATTGTCAATGAAATGGGCCGTCACACACATATAGGTCAACTTTTGACAAGAAGTCCACATATCAGTGGTGAGACAAACCCTTTGACAATTCAGAGAGAGAAAGTTTTTCAAAATCATTTTTTCTGTGTTCCATAGTTTCAAGACATCACGTGCCAATGTTGTACGCGAACAAATCTGAAATCTTTGTGAAGCGAGACTCATAAATTCATGAAAAGACTCATGTTCAACCTTCCGAAAAGGAATCTCCATGTTAATGAACATCTTAACCATTTCTCTTCAAATAGCTTCTTGGTCAAACTTGACAATTAAAGGAAAGCCAACATGTTCTTCAGCACTTGTCATAGAAGATGATGTCCTTTGTCTCTTGTAAACAAGGCATCTTGATAAATGAGCATGCATAGAACTAGTTCCATCATTATACTTAATTTTTGTGTCACAGTACTTGCACGAAGCTTTTTGTTCTTCTTCTGACGATATAATGAAATGATTCCAAGCCTCTGAACGGTTCTTTCGCTCCTTAGTGTGAGGAGGTGGCATTTCATTAGAGACAGTATGTGGAGGGGTTGAAACCGTATTCTCGGACGGTGCATACATTGGCAAGTAACTAACATTAGTCATCTTGATTCTGTTAAATATAGAAAAACAATTTCATATTATAAGAACAAGATCAAATCACAAACATTTTAGATATTGGTCTATAAATCAAATTACATACACAACAGGCACGTGTTTCAAAAGCACTTATTAACTTCAAACTAATTAAACCAATTTCTGTACTCTGCAATATACCGTAATGAATATCCATGCTTCAACATAATGGTTCTGTTTCAAAGTGTATCAAAGTCACATAAGTTGCTGTTTCTAAATTATAGTTGATAGGTTATTTAATTTAGGTGGATTTCAGTTGTTGATAATTTACATTATATTATCTGCATAAGCCATGCTATTTATCCAATGTTTCGGCCAAATTCTATGAGTTTTAGTCATCTACATAAGCCATGCCATCTCAAATAAAATATATGGCTACATAACAATTCATTAACTTCAAATTGGTTACCTAAAAAATATACAAAACTATAAAAATTGATTAGTAAAAATTAAATGATAAATGACTTTTCTATCTGAATTACTATCAATTAATAGGTTATTGAATTTAGGTGGATTTCAGTTGTTGATAATTTACATTATATTATCTGCATAAGCCATGCTATTTATCCAATGTTTTGGCCAAATTCTATGAGTTTTGGTCATCTGCATAAGCCATGCTATCTCAAATAAAATATATGGCTACATAAAAATTCATTAACTTCAAATTGGTTACCTAAAAAATATACAAAACTATAGAAATTATACTCATGTATATGAAACACAAGAAGCAGAACTCAACTTCAAGCCATTATTCTTCTATTTAGCAGCATACTTAGGTACAGGCACCTTATGTTTCTTTCTGGCAAGTTACCAAATTAAAGGCATAAAAACATATGGTTTTCTTGATGCTCTTTATTTCTGTCATCACGATGACAACCGTTGGATATGGCGATCTCGTTCCTAATAGTACTATAGCGAAACTACTTGCTTGCCTTTATGTCTTCACTGGTATGGCTCTTGGTGGCTTGATTCTTAGCAAAGCAGCAGATTACATTATTGAAAAACAGGAAGTGTATCTTGTTAAAGCAATATGCAAAGCCGAGAAACTCGGTCTAGAAGAGGTTTCTAAAGAACTTGTGATTAAGAAAAGCAAATACAAGTTTCTGCTTTCAATATCCACTTTTGTTGTACTCATGATTACAGGAACTGTTTTTCTGTATTTTGTTGAGAAACTAGATTTCGTTGATGCATTCTATTATGTTTGTTCGACGGTTACGACTTTAGGTTACGGAGATAAGAGCTTCTCAACTCCTATTGGTAGGACTTTTGCTGTGTTTTGGATATTAATGAGCACCATTTGCTTGGCTCAGTGTTTTGCATATCTTGCTGATTTTTATACGGAAGATAAACAAAGATCATTGGCGAAAATGGATCTCACGCGAAATTTTTTGCCCCGTGATCTTGAGGCAGCTGATCTTGATGGAGACAAAGTTGTCAGGTAAGACGATAAGTTACTGGAGAGACCATTTCGACAGACTTTTTACAGTTTCAGAAATGTGTTTGCCAATTCGCAAAATCAGAAACTATTTCTGACATTAGATGCTGATATTGATCAATATTTTCTTTTCAGTGCTGTAGAGTTTGTTTTGTACAAGTTGAAGGAAATGGGAAAGATCAACCAATAAGATGTTATAGTCGTGATGGAGATTTTTAGAAAACTAGATTATGATCAATCAGGAACTCTGACTGAAGCTGATTTCAGAAACTCTCAAGTCTGAACCATCTCAACATTATAACTATAACTTTCTTATGATAGGCATAGCAAAATTTACGTTACATTTTCATCATTTATACTTTGTTTTTGCTACATAAAAATCCAAGAGCCCTTCACCGACTTTTTCATCAAGATTTTCATATGAGAATTTGGAAACATCTCTAAAGGCTAATAGTGCAAGAAAGAATACAGCAGTGGAAGCAAACAAGGGCCACAAATATGACAGAATGGTCATTATTTGTAGAGAAATTGGGAATCAAGAATAAAGTGCATAGGAAAGACACTTTTCTTTAAAAGAGGAAGGACAATTTTTCTGGTGCCATTCCTAAAGAACTTGGAGATCTAGACAATCTGGAGTTGTTGGATTTAAGGGAGAATAACTTGATTGGAAATATCCCCGCAGAAACCGGGAGGATGTTGTTAAAAAAATTGTAAGTTAACTCTATATATTAGCTTATCTATTTGTTTAAGATTTCTCGGCATACCTTAAATGGTGTTTTATTTTTCTGTAGATTGGTTCATGACAATAAATTTGAAGGTAGCGATTCTCAAGAGCTCGACAAAATGGGACTGCCTTCTAAATCGCTAGTTATTGACAACTATTCGTCTCCCCTGGCAAGATTGTTTCAGTGCAAGAATAGAAAGTTTGCACACTGGTAAGCATAGCATCATTTTATATGCATCATTCACCCGAATTGTATACTTTTCTTAATTTGTCACGTATAATCAACGACGACAACAACAACACCAACACAAACATGTCTATAGCAGCGACCTCCTCACAAAATCATCAATTATAAAATATACATGTCATTCTCCAGCTATATTAATATGACAATATAAACAAACCCAAATAGACATTTTATCAAACAAGATGCGTGCATACAAGAAATCCGTATAATTAATGAATCCTACAACTCAGATTTGGAGTTTATAATATGTTTACTTGAGTATCAATGGAAGATGGAAGATGTTGGTAGAGCTTTCTCTTGAACCTGAATTTCATCGATTTTGCAGTTAATTAGATAAACCCATAATTAAAAAGCTTTTAATTTGTGAAAACTAAAAATTCTAAGTAGAATTTCACCTGATTCTGAGAAGAAAGCTCGTGGAGGCGTTGTTGAAGGACGAATTTGTTGGATTTGAAAAACAATTTTGCTGATGTTTGAGATTTTTGAAGAAGATGTGTTTTACTGCGTATGTTTGGAAGTATAGTAACAATGACCTATCTTTGGTCCAATTTGGAACAATGGGTACCGGTTATTTTTTAATTTAATAAATGGGCCACCAATTTATAAACATAACTTTGGGTTGGATTTTTAAATTTGGATTTATTTGGATAGTAATTTAGTTTATGGTCACCAGTTATTATGCACACCCCTAGGTACAACACTCTTCAAACCACGTACAACTGTTCCATTTAATCCATCATCATGCCAAAACCTATGCCTTCACTATGTCCAAGCTAATCCTCAATCCGTCTCCATTCATGAAATATATAAAATTGTGCTTTGAACTGACTCATACTCACGCCTTTGACACCAGATAAACACAATAAAACATGGCACTACATTTGTTCAATCAAACAACTCATCATTCAACTAATACCATACGACCAATTCAACTCATAAGCCAAAAACCGGATGAAGCAATTCACAAATGCACCATGTAATAAACAAAAATACAATTCAGGAACAACTCAGAGTTAATTATTACTGTCCAGATTTGGAGGATTCGTCAGTGCAAATACAAGTCATATACAATCAACATCACAGTTTTTCAGATTAAGGAAAAAGCAAATACAACCATGCTAATTTCAGTTCAATATTCACATCAAATGCAAGTCACGGTTCAAGTCAAAAGCAACCTATTGACTTTACCTTCTAAATATCCAAAACAGAATCAAACTCACAAAAACGAATTTATCAAAGTAGAACCAGGTTTACACTATGCCATTAACAGAAATTCAGAGTAAAACAAAAAAGAAGAGAAAATCAAAGAAGATATAAAAGGCAATGAGGAAACCAGAAAAAGCGTGAATAAAAGATCAGGGAAGTACAACAGAACGCTCTACATCTGTTAATAAACCAGAAAGTCTGAAAACTGAAAATCAGGTAAAGAAGAAGAAAACTCATAGTGTTCCAGCTCAACATCAATTAACAGAAAACAAGAAAAAATAACTAACCGCCATAACAAAATCCAAACTAACCTCCAACTGAATCAAAACTGAATTTCAAACTCTATAACTAAATCTTAACCTATTTAATAGGGGAGCTAACGAACTTTCAACAGGGATATATATAACAAAAATTCAAAGAAGAAGAAGAAGGAGGATTCGTATTTCACGAAGAAGAGAGAAATAAAAAACATTCACCTTCCGACTCTCTGCAATTCCTCTGAATTCTTCATCATCTTCAATCTTCAAGAATTATTGAGTCTTCAACCTTCTTCAATTCATTATTCAACCTTCAAGGGAGAATCACCAAGAAAAGCTCTCTCTCTGCATATAAATCTTCATCCACACCAATCATGATCTTGACATTCAATCAACTGCAGATTCGCTGATTATCTCACCTTATTCACCATCCTCTCTCTGCAACAAATCTCATAACCTTTTCCTCAGCTCTATAATCATCTTTATCAAGTCTTCAGAATCTGTAGAGGAATCACCAGAAATCATAGAAAAACTCCTCAATCTCCCGCTTGTAAATTCTTATATCCGCACTGCTAGAACCACGTTCCCTTCCTCAATAACCTTTCTTCTCTACGCTGTTCTTGAGATTTCTCAGCACAGAGTAATATTCGTCTGCTTCAATCATCCTTGCATTTGAATTCAGCAATCATCACACAATACTTCATCGCTCCTTCGTCAACAACATTACAACCGCAACTTCATAACAACACTACAAAATAATTTCAATAGTGTAGAATCCGCATCCTTGCGTAGAACAAACAAAAAATAGAATCGAGAAAGAAGAAGAAAGAAGAAGAATATTTCACAAGGTAAATGAAAAGAACACAAGTACCTGGTTAGTCTTTTGGTTTTCTGTTCGATTAAATCCGCAATGATCAAAGAAGAGTTTGCAACGCATCGTACTTGTCTTCATCATCTCCAACTCGGTCTTAGGAGTCATCACAGGACGGTGATCCTTCGCTCTTTCTTGGATTTCTTGATATGAACATGAAGAACGAATAAAGTAGAATCAGAATCCCAAGGAATTGTGTCCAAAAGCTTAGTTAACACCATTTAATTTGGGTTTTCTTCATCAACTTAGGGTTTAGGTTCTTAGTTATATTCGGAGAAATTAAAGTTGAATCTGTGAAAATGAGGTTAGGTTCTTGGTCATGATGTCATGTTCGAACAGTTAATCAAACACAAGCAAAACACACAAGGCCTTAGGTTCAGGCTTGCATGGAGTTTGTAGGTAAGTACCCTCTTGAGTTTTAGTTGGCTTAACCTATCCTAACGGAAGTAATCGGGTTCCAGGAGTCGCATATCACCGATCTTTCTCTCAGGCATTATTTCGACACAAGCATCTTATTTGAGACTGAAATATCCCGGGAGTCCGATCTCAATGAGTGGAGCATCGAGTATCAACCAATTTCAGTCTGCACCAAATCCGGCCATCTCACTACTTTCTAATGGCTAATTTGTGTCAACTAAGGTTCTAAGGTTAATTTGTGTCATCCAAATTTATCTACGGGCTCTTAATCGCTAGCTCACTTTTTGAAATGCTTTGTGTTGTCTTTTAAAAAAAATTGAAAATGCCTAAGTGCGGAAATTTTGTAATGATTCTCGTATCAGTTGAAAACACGTACAAACTATTTATTTTGAAAATATTTCAGAGAAAAGCGTGATTGTGAAAAGATGTTTGTTTTGAAATTTTATTGTGAGAAAGCGATTAACAGTTCTACCCTTACTCGAAGATCTTTCGTGTTATTTTCCTCCTCCTTTAGATAGTTTTATCCTACCATTAGTTAGTAGGAAGCCCTATTGTTGGATGTGAAGGGACATGCGTGGGTCATTTTACAGTCATAAAGGAAACTCGTAGGGGTGCTTTAGTAATTTTATTGTAAGGGACTAACATCGTTTACCGAAGGCAGCATCGAAGGGTCATCAAGGGACTATGATATTTTTAACCGAGGGTCTTTGCTAAAGCATCCCCGCGTTCGAGGGACATGACTGCTTTTATCTGAAGGCAACAAGTGGAGTCACCCTAGAGGTGCGAGTGTGAATAGTGATTCAATTCAGATTATTTATCTTGTATATTAGGGTTATCTAGCATTTCGTTTTAGAACTTGCCATACACGCCTAGTTACTATAAAGTAATAAGGAAAACGGTAAATTGCGGAAGGTAGAATTTAAAGGATCCTACACTATTACAAAGCTTCGGGGAAGGGGGTATAAAACTATAAAACTGGGGGAAAAGAAAGTAAACCCTAATTTAAGCTATTACAAACTTTTAGCAGATACATAATTGGGAAAAAGCTAATGCGAAAGTAAAAGAACACGCAAAGATTCTGAAAAGGGAAAGAGACAGGAAAATTGTCTTATGATCGTTTTTTATGAAAAAGAGTTTTGATAATTATCCTAAACACTATTTAATTTTGATTAGGAAAAAAGATTTATTAGTCAAAATTAAAAACTAAAACAACCTAATTATTTTTTATTTAAAAGAAATTAATTTACTTAACAAAAGTTAATCAATTTAATTAAAAGAAAAAATCAATTTGGTTAATATAATTAAAACCCCTAATTCTAAATTGATTTAAAATTAATTAAAAGAAAAGTTAATTATGTTAAAAAAAGTTTAAAACAAAATAATTAAAAAAAGAAAGGAATGGGCCTGTATGAAGTAATTCTGGGGGGTGCTGAAAACAAAATCGTTGGGCCCAAAACATGCAAGCCCAAAACGCCTGCCTGAGATCCAGTGTTGTTGCTCCAAGTAGGTTCACTGTGGGTGTGGAGATCTGGAACGTCAGATATTAGTTTGTAGAGATCTGATGGTGATGATGTGAGGCGCATGGTGAGCGCGTGGTACTGTCCTACATATGATCTGTAAAAATCACAAAACATGAAAAATTTTGTCCCATGCTAGGATCGAACCCGTGCACAGGAATAATAAAGTCTTAAGGGAAAGTGCGCTACCACTTGGGTGGCCATACATCCGTTAGCTTATATTAATTCATAAATATATAATTTAAAATAAATGCTAAAAGTCAAACAACCAAACACGCGCGTATAAGTGGGACCTTTGTGTTTTGAATGGACCAATCATAACGTCCTATCTTACTACGCATGGTCAGCCACCGGTCAAGCCACCCTGGACGGTGGTTCAGTCATCATCTCTGATTGCATAAAAACCATAACCTGCGAAATTTAATCCAAACAAAAAAGAAAACAACCCTAATTGACTAATTAAGGTCCTACAATTCCAAAGGTATGGTTAGCTTAGGCTAAAAATGCCTACATCGTGAGATCTAAAGCTTTAAAAGCTCGTGCCCTAACAATTACACGATTCTGTTTATGCACTAAAACTCACATGTAAGACGTTAGAACAATTCTAATAATGTGTATGAATTATGCTGACATGTTTACAATGATTGAAATCATGGTGAACCTCGAAAATCATAACTCACCAAACTTACCAACCGAAGCTCGGGCAAGGAAGGGTCCTGGGGTTGATTTTTGATGGATAAGGACTGGTATAAACTCATGGAAACTTCAGGAAGATGATGTGAGGCTCAAAACTTCTTGAGAGCGGCTGAAGAGTAGGGTTTGACTTTGCTCTAATCTTTTGAATCCTTGAGAACTTTTTAGAGGTGTTTTGAGGCAGTGTTTTCGTCCCCTTTGCATTTGGTCTTGTAGGTATATATATGTCACGAGATTATGTCAATAAAACTTGAAGAAAATATTGCATGATTATGAGAAAAAGATTGGATTTAGAATTATGTGAAACTTACTATTTTGGCCAAGATTTTTCACCAATCACTCTTGCACGAATTTGACAGCTTGTACATGAAAACTCGGGCCTCCAACATGACTGAAATCAAAGGCCTTATGCTTTAGTCCATTAGGTTTATATTTATTTGATTTATTTTGAGTTTAATTAAATAAAAATCAAAATAAATAAAATAAAATATAATGCATGGATGGACTTATGGGTCTTTAAACATGTTTGGATCTGAAAAATTAGGCCCACTAGCTTAAAATTACAAATTTGCTCAATTTGGAATTCATGCATTCTACCAAAATTTCCAAACTTGTAATGGCCATAAATATCTCAATTTTCATATTTTGGAGATGGTCTTGGAATTTTTGGAAAGATCAAGATATCCTCCCCGACTTCTATTTTGATCATTTTTGCATTTGAAGAATTTATCTTGATGTAAGTTGCCTTGACAAAAAGTGTCTTTTTGTTGACTTTTGAAATGACCTATAATGTATTGGCCCATATCTCTCAAATGAAGCATTTTTTTGGACTTGAGCATAAAAAGAAAAGTTGTAGAGAATTGAATTTACTTCAAAGTGGGCTTTGGTTGGGGAAAGTTGATGAAACATGTGAAAGTTATGCCTGGTCAAAGTTTAGTTGACTTCTCCTAAGGAAACCCTAATTTGGCAACTTTTAACTTTTGATGATTTGAGAGCTTTCCCTGAGGAATCTTGATAAACCCTTGATCAAATGATGAATATCATTTCAAAATATTGATGTTGACCAAAAATATTGAGGATTAACTGTATGTTGACCATAGTTGACTTTTTACCCAATATAGTTGATTTTCAATCATCTGAGCCATTGACTGAGCAAACTTGTGATGCAAGACATGAAACTTGGCATGAGAATTCTTGAAGATATATGAATAACTATGAGAACAACTTGAGACCTTTGAAACCCATTCTTCCTTGAGAAACACAAAACCCTAGTCGTGGACCCATTGTTTAGGAGGAGAATTTATCTGATCAATTCTTAAGCAACCTTGAGCAATTGAGAACCCTAGGAGAATGTCTTGAAGAGAAGTGGGAGGAAAAATTTTAGGGTGAAACACTAAGGATACAATAATAGTTATCCATTAAAAGGCCGAGGAAAGTCAATATCACAATGGTTAACCTTCATCTATCAGCAACGTGCATCAAAGAGAATGATATCCCAATGGACATCTCTCGCACATCAGGAAGTCAAAAGACGAAAATACCACAACGGTTATTCTTCGTCAACCAAACAGCAAGGCGGTTACACCTTTTCAGCAAGTCAAAGGACGACTCAAAGTCACATGACTGGTTCAAACGAAATGAAATGATGAAAGAATGAAACACAAAGCCCCGCTAAGTTGAAACATGAAAAACAAGTCGTTTAGGAAAAAGTTAAGGCATCCTGCTGGACTTCAGAGTCAAATTCAAAAGGAATTCGTCCAGGCAAAATTTAGGGAAAGCGAAAAGCGAAAAGGGGATTACCAAAAAAATCCTCAACAAAGAACAAAGTCGGTGATCGAACACCAAGAAAGAAAGAGGTGAGTGACTGCCATGTCCAAAAAACCTCGTTTGACTCCTCAACCATTGTAAACTCCTTTTGAGAGATGAGTGCTCATATCAACTTAAATGAACGTAGGAATGGAGAACATCATGGAGAATGGGTGAGCACCAAATATTTTGAGCCTTAAGTCCTTTTTTATAAAAACCGTGAACCAGGCCACATTACAACCCTTAAAATTCCTAACTGAAGTATGCGTTGATTCGAAAGTGCGCTGTAACGAGAATACGATAATCTGACTCCTAGGAGGCTTGCTAAAACTTTTAAGTTGGTATCACACCATATTTTTAATTTCTTTCGCACAAAAAATGTTTTGATGTTTAAATCTTTTCGATAAATGTTTTTTAAACTTCAAGACAAACATAAGCTTTGCATTAGAATTAACATTCTTAGAATAAACATTCTTTGCATATGAACAAGTGCTTAAACATTGAGTAAGCTTGCATAATGAGCATCAGATAGAAGTTTCATTATCTCGAGGGACAAATTGCTTCAGGATACCATTGAAAGGTAAATCATTTTTGAGAATGATCTTAATCTGGGGCATACCTTCTATTGAATTTGTCGAGTAAAAAGAAGACCAGTTTGATAAATGATCTAAAGTA